ACATGTCTTTGCAGCGAAAAGGTTAGGTAGATCCAGTTTAAGTCAAGTGCCTTGTTAACCTTTATTTTTTTTATTTCATCCTTTTTATATTTGATTCTGCAGTTGAAGGTTGACAAGAAAGCATTTTCATTGAATATGAATATGCGAGACTTTGAACAGGAGAATGTGAAGATTAAAATCGATAAAGACCGACTTGTTATCTCGGCAAAGCAGGAGAATGCAGAGAGCAGGAGGCGTGTCTCAAGGGAGATAACTCGAGAATTCCTTATCCCGGAGATATATGTTTATATATATATAATGTCTCATTTATTACATCACGAACTAATATTATATTTTAAGTTATCTAATTTCATTTTAATAAGAAATCCGATAAGTGTTTACATTAAATTGTTGAAGAAGTGTTTTTGAACTACAACCTATCATTCACAAGATAATTTTTATAACCTTAAATTGATTTTCTTTCTAATTTTAAATTATTCTCCTCTAATTTTGTTTTGAACATCATTGAATTAAGGGATTTTCGTAGCTCACCCATTGTTTCATCAATTGTTTAGACCATTTTGGATTATCATCTTGATGGTTCCTAGCATCACTGATGATTACTAGCATCACTGATGAGTCCTATCATCACTGATGGTTCCTAGCATCACTGATGCGTCCTAGAAGGAAGAAACAGCTGATTGGTGCAGTGTTATTTATTTTTGTCATGCTGTAACTATTACCAAGTTTCAAAGGTGCATTTTCTTTGCAGAATATTGACACTGAAACGATGAATGCAGTAGTCACAGATGACAGTCTACTGATGGTAAGAGGTCGGATCAAAGGTGTCACTGAGGAAATGGAAAAGGTCATCGAAATCGACCGGCAGCCGTAACAGCTTTGTGCAAGACGATCACTTTTATACTTTACATTAACCGGACAGTTTCTATTGTTGTCAATTAGAAATGTTGAACATTTAGAGAATGAAGACTGATTCAATGCTTTTCTTTATATCTGTTGCATGATAAGTATTAAATGAATATTCTTCTTTGCTTTCCTTCATGCACAAATGTTAAAAATCATTATTTTATTGATACACAGAAATTGAATACTGTTTTTATTTGTAAAATAATTGCAGATCAGAAAGTCAAAATATTTAAAGTACTCCAATACACACGATATAAAAACACATATTTATGTCTGGTACAAAGAACATCAATAGGAATCATGCAAGCATGCATAAATTTACACAACTGCTTAACGGTAATAATGTATCGGAAACTGTAAAAATGAGTATCCTGAATCGAATTGTCCGGTATATATATATATATGTTGTAAGAAATAAGTCGGAAGACTTAAGAGTAATAAAAATCTTGAATCTTAAAAACCTCCATGTTTTCCTGAACTGGCTCCGTGTTTTACTATATGTGTTGCAAATGATAATCGGGAGACTTGACTGTCGGGTAATAAAAGTCGAAGGTTAAAAACCTGCTACAAACAGTTTCTGCCGTCTCGCATAAAACTGGTGAAAATCAGCCAGAACATCCACCATGTCATTAACAAATAAAAAAACATTTCAAAGCATTTGTAATTAGACTGAACGTCTTTTTACAATTACAAAAAAAAATGTTTTCTTTCAAAAATATCTATACAAACGTATGTTAAAGCGGAACCAAATGGAAAATTCTTGTACATTGTATTGCATTCAGAGGAAGGATTCATTTACAGATCTGATATTGCATCCCTTAAACATACCCATACTACATTTGTAATATTATGCAATTATAGAATTGGTAGGAGGCAAATTATCGGTGTTTTTGTGGATCTTGAACTGTTTCAGATGTGTATAGAGTTTTTTTAGTTCTTTGACTGCCATATTTTGTATCAGAACGTCCGTTTCATGGGGTTTTTGAGCATTTATCTTTGACAAGGTAGACAAATACAATTTACTGATATACATTATAGCAGCTGTTCCCATCTGTGTAGCTCATGATGTGTGATGTTGTGTTTTTCTGGTTTTCAGTTAACTAGTTAATGCCTACAGTTCATCTCATATGCATGGCCTTTTTTAAACAAACCCGAAGAACCTTGTGAAGGGTGAATGTTGCTAGGCCTTCGTGTCATCGCAGCGTAAACTCCAATACCCCGGATGTTTAGCTAGTCGGCACCCATACTTTGACTGATACATCCAGTGTTTGGGGTTTCCCCACGAATCCTCTCGATAAATAATATGACCAGCTTTCTTAATTCAAACATTAGAAATGCAGTGTTTTGTGTTAAATACAGACAGACCTATATCAAATGTTGGTGTTTTTTTCGATTGCGTTTTCATTAGTCCTAATTTCACCAGATGTTGGAAAACATTCAAAAGGAATATTAGCGTTGTGAAAACATGAAATCGAAGCAGAAAGGGTTGTAATAGTGTGCGATAAGCATCTTATTTATTTTTCAAATGACCAGAGTAGACAAGGAAGTTGAAACAAAACATGGCAAACCACTCGGAATAATCAATCGCTACGCTGTTCACAAGCTAGGTCGCATCACAAGAGGTGGAGTTGCAACATGATAGACTCCTGTTTCCGAGTTAACCGGAATTTTGAGAAGGAGGTGGCTTAAGTTAATGGATGTATCATCTGTAATGCTAAAATAACCAGCAGCAAGAAAAGGTCAGAAAACTTCAGAACTTTCATATATATAGATAACATTTTATACTATTACTTTGTCAAATAGGGGTAAGTTTTAGCACATCTAAGACATTTTCCGAATTTTCTAAATAGATTCTTTCACATAAAAAATTGAAAGGTGGACAAGTGTGCCTTTATCTTTAAAGGAGAAAAATAACTGTGTCTTTATTAAATAGAAATGACACAAATAATGACCATAGTTGTTTATATATTTCACTTTGTTGTTAATAATCTGTCACTAAACGACATAGCATAAAAGCAAGGTTGTAAACAATAGAAATACATGACTAAATAATAAATTTAAGATCAGAAATATATCAGCTGAAGATTTCGGTGTCACACAAAACAATGATACGTATTGTGTGGGTCAAAAGTAGAGGAAAATATGTAGTCCCGAATATCAGTTATCTAGACCGTCTTAAAAACTTTAAATTGCCAACAGTATCGTATCGCCGACATAGAGGTGACATGATCGGGATATATAACATCATACAATGGATATATGACAAGGCGACAAGTGGATTCATCAAGCTACGGCACAACGTAGTAGAAGAGACAGCTCCAGGAAACACATTGTCTATCCGCAATGTAGTTCTTCAGAGTAAAGCATCCTTTTCACATCCTGTACGAGAATTTAAGGCTCCTTTCAGAATTGGGACCGATGCATTTGGGTCTGACGAAGGGGTTCTTTTCTATCCTGTGTCAGAACAAACTATCAGTAAGTAAAAATCATGTTTAAGTAAATAAGCATAACTAATAAAAGATAAACACGTATACAACCACCAGCACACACACGCACTCCCTTGCATAGTGTAAGTTATCCCATGAATGCACTTGAATAATTTTAATAAATTGTGATTGCATGGAGAAAGCTACACTATCTCATCAAAACTGGTCGACCTGTAACATTGGTAACACTAACTGGACATGGATAACCATACAATATACATAATAATGAAAACATTTATTATTTCACCGGATTTATGTTTAGTGCCAGGATTTTAATTTGGTCGGTTGCCGTTCTATCTACTTTTCCCCCCGACTGACAGGTTCATGCTTGCATCGACTGTAGCTTCCTACTGAAACCTCGGACTAGCGCAAGACTACATGTATTTAACAGTGTAGCCTTGTAGGCCACTTTAATACTAGCAGCAGCCTTGGTCAAGTAAGATATTTTCTTTATTTTTCATTTTATTATTTATAAGATTTAGGCCTTTACGACTCACATGCATCACATGAACCAAAGTTACAATGAAATTATTCATTTAAACAAGGTGTAAATCTGGATCTAAAGTTCTATAAATAGAAACATATCAGCTGATGTATTTGGAAATACACCACTATTATAATCAAGGTTGCTAACTCTGTCCTCCTAGTAAAATGACTGCGTTCCACGATTGTGTCATAACCGTTCATTATATGACGCCGGGAGTGCTCCAGTCTAGATCGACAGGAAAAAAAGTTTCTTTAATTTGTTGTATGATTTGACATCTATCATGCAGCATAATGTTTGGTAGACTTCGTGAAACATCGTAAAATGGTCGAATTTCAGTCGGTCGGACACAGTGCTGTCCACGGAATGACACGCTAAAATCCTAGTTGGTAGCGCAAAACACACGACACGATAGGAAACAAACTTACTTTATGATATTCCATGCCCTTTCATTACCACGTATGACACCCTAGTCCAGTTTTCAAGCTGGTCAGGCTGACGATCGGAAATCTGAACAGAGACTGTCATTTGCTCTAACTTTTGTGACCTCGACGCTGATTGGTCCGTTACATTTAGTGGCCAATCAGCGTCGAGGTCACAAAAGTTAGAGAAAATGGCAGTTTCCTATCGTCAGCCTGACCAGCTTGAAAACTGGACTCGGGTGTCCACCCTAATAATGTAAGGGCGTGACATATCATATCATACAAGTAAGTTTGTTTCCTATCGTAGAAACACTGCACTGACATTGAATAGCGGACATGCCGTGTGTTTTGCGCTACCCACTAGGGATTTAGCGTGTCATCCCGGGGACAGCACGTTGTCCTCCGACAAACTGAAATTCGACCATTTTACGATGTTTCACGAAGTCTACCAAAATTATACTGCATAATATATGTCAAATCATACAACAAATTATAGACAATCTATTTTCCTTTTGATCTAGACTGCTCCCGACGTCATATAATGAGTTGTTATTTTCTGGAACGGGGTAATTTTACTAGGGTGACAGAGTTAGCAACCTTGATTATGATATGGGTGTATTAACAGACAAGGCTAGTATCTGTTGGGGAACACCCTTACTGCGCCCCATATTGACGTTTATATTTCATCAGAAAATCCCAGCGTTTACTCGTAAGGCCACATTATACTTGCATCAGATTTAGATATTTCGAGAAAGTCCAAACAGGTATAAATAATCGCCGCGCACCCTAGTCTTCATTTATAAAATGTATCGCGCACGAAGTGTTGTACCGCGGCTCTGTCGCCATGTACAGGCCGTAGCTCGTCAGCCATTATGTTGTCAATCCAACATCCCCAAAAATTCCTTCTTCCGACCGAAGACATGCAGGGACCCATGGGACAGTAATTTTAACAGGGGACATTCATTTGACAAACATTTCCGTTCCATTTTGGATGAGATGGGTCAGATGACGAGGCTCGCCTTTGGCGAAATTGTCGATGAGATCCCAAGACGGGGGCGACACGTTTTGGCAAGGTCTGAGGCAGCCGAGGTAACGTCATTTGCAGATTTCTTTTTCAATCATAACAAAATTTTGTTTTGTGAATAGTCAGTTATTGGTAAATCCCATAGGAACCTGGAAAGGGCCTGTTTCCAGTAATGTTAATTCTCCATAGGAGCCTGCCACCGTATAATTTCTTATCTAGCTCAACTACTGTTTTTTTCTTTTCCGAAGAATAATTTTACACCTTTCCGACACCCAGATTTCATAATTTCAGTGAAAATGTATTTTTATAAAGTTGTCAATTTCAGCATCAAAGACATAAGTTCGTAAATAAAAGAAGGTTATCTCGAAATTGTAATTCGCAACATAGTATAAATTTCTTTTGATAAATATTTCCAAAACATCGTGTTTATTCATAAAACATAANAGATTTGTGACCACAACGGCATGGGCAGTGCACCACCAACAGGAAATTTGAATCAGAGAAGGGGCCGTTTTGGAAACCGGCCCTTTGTAACAGCTATATTTTGACCTTAACTAAGGTGGTCAGAGTTATTCTACATGTTTTAGGGGTTTAGATCGCTTTTAGATAAAAATGCCACGTAAATAATATGTAATTATTGGGGTGGCATTTTTACCGAAAGTCGATCTAAACGCCTAAAACATGCAAAATTACTCTGAACACCTTAGTTTAGGTCCAAATATAGCTGTTACAAATTCTCAGGTCCCTGTGTGTATGCCTAGTCGAAACTCCCTTTTCTCAACATTACTAAAATACACTCACTGTAGTAGTTCATCTTTCCGCTTTAACAATACTGACTCTTAATCTGCATGAATCTTAAGATACAGAAATAATCACTAGAGCAGCATATGTGATAACACACTATGCGTGTATTAAGAAAGGAAAAATAATTACATGGTAAAAGAAAATATACCATGTATAAAACATTTTGTACACCAATTTACCTGTCTTCGCAGCGAAAAAGTTAGGGAGATCCTGTTTCCCGCTTCAATCAAGTGCCTTGTTAACTTTTATTTATTCATTCATTTATTTAATCCTTTATATATTTTTGATTCTGCAGTTGAAGGTTGACAAAAAGGCATTTTCATTGAAAATGAATATGCGAGACTTTGAACAAAAGAACGTGATGATTAAAATCGATAAAGACCGACTTGTTATCTCGGCAAAGCAGGAGAATGCAGAGAACAGTGGATGTGTCTCAAGGGAGATAACTCGAGAATTCCTTATCCCGGAGGTATATTATATATGTTATATTTTACTACAAAGCATCAAATTTCGTGTTTAATAAGAAATCCGCTAATTGTTTACATTAAATTGTTGAAGTGATTTTACAATACAACCTATCATTCTGAAGATATTTTTTATAACCTTAAATTGTTTGTCTTTCTCATTTTAAACTGTACTCTTCTGTTTGAACATCATTAAATTAAGGGATTTTCGTAGCTCCCCGTATGTTTCAACAGTTGTTTAGACCATTTTGGATTATCATCCTGATGGTTCCTGACATCACTGATGTTCAAAGAAGGACGAAACAGCTGAATGGTGCAGTGTTATCTATTTTTGGCATACTGTATTAATAAACAAGTTTTAAAGGTGCATTTTCTTTGCAGAATATTGACACTGAAACGATGAATGCAGTAGTCACAGATGACGGTCTACTGATGGTAAGAGGTCGGATCAAAGGTGTCACTGAGGAAATGGAAAAGGTCATCGAAATCGACCGGCAGCCGTAACAGCTTTGTGCAAGACGATCACTTTTATACTTTACATTAACCGGAGTTTCTATTGTTGTCAATTAGAAATGTTGAACATTTGGAGAAAGAAGACTGATTCAATACTTTTCTTTATATCTGTTGCATGATAAGTATTAAATAAATATTTTTTCTTCTTTGCTTTCCTTCATACACAAATTTTAAAAATGCACACGGTCCCATCATTATTTTATTCGTATACAAAAATTTGTATGCCTACACTTCGAAATAGATCTTGTACCTTAAACGATGATGTTTAAGACTAAAAAAATGTGCTTTTTTTATAAATGTATGCAAGCATTTGTAATTAGACTAAACGTCTTTTTACAGACAAAGACAATTGGGTTCCTTCATAAATATCTTTATAAAAACGTATGCTAATGCGGAACCAAATTGAAAACTCTTGTAAATTGTTTTGATCTGATATTGTAGCACATACTCATAATTTAACAATAGTACACAGTCATAGAATGGGTATGAGGGAAATAGAATGGTCCCCGGGGTGATAATTTATAAACTCATAAATTCATGAGGGAGTCGTCCTGTTTCTTGCAGAAAGTAGTCCTATTTTGAGGAGGGAGTAGCCCTCAGATGGAGAGATTCAAACGATGTTAGGGAAATAAGAGATGTTATTGTATTGTTTTTATATAGGTTTTCCAAGTCCGTATACCTTCGACGACCACAGCCTCCTTCAGTTTTCACTCAGTGCGCTCGCTTGTAGAACGTTAAAACAGTCCTGCTCCTGGTATTTTCGGATTATGTCACATTCCGTTATCTTCGAGATGATCGGTGTGGTAATTTTTGTTATATTTACTGAATGTTAGTTGGCATTGCAACACAATGGTGGACCAGACTTAGACACGTTAACAACTTCATCTTGGCAACGAAACGCTTGGAAGAGTAGCCGATTTCCGGCTTCCCTTTAGGTCTGTCCCTGAGCTAGGTATAACCCTCGACTCGTCCAGATGATGTGTGTTAGTCTCTGCCTCACGTAACAGCAGTATGACAGTATCTCATACACCATCTGTTTTAAAACTGATATGCTGCTTACCAATAACACATATTTACATGTACATCAATAAAGTAACAAAATCAGTGTATTGGGATCACAATATGGATGGCTTTTCGTTAAAACTTGCGCTTGGACATACAATCATATTTTTATTCTCGGACGCTAAATCCGGGGCACCTGATTACATGCTTTCGTTGTTCTTTTTCAATGGTCTCCATGGAAATTGTTTCATCGTTTTAAGTTCGAGTTACGGTGTTGTTAACACTTCAGTATTGTCGTGTTATTTTTCATATAAGTTGACTGTTTTCCTTTGTTGCTTTACATGTACAGAATATTCTGTTATTGGTAAAATTAATAACTCTAAAGTTATATCGTTTTCCGTCGTCATCAGACACGTGCTGTCGTCACGATAAAGTGTTATACACTGGTGATCCCGCGACCGTATCGCTAGCCATGCTTATTAACATTTTGACGGCATGTTGAATGAAAAGTCGAATGAGCGGACGGACGGATAGACCAATTATATTTTAACATAAGTAAGTAAGAAATCATATCTTGATATAAATAAATATCTTATTATTGTTTATCAAATGTCAAACAATCTAATTGTTCTATATTGTGGGTAGCATAAGGTTAAATATTTGTATCAAATAAATATGCATTCAAGTTGAATTATAATTCTATAAAAATAATATACTGAGGTGTAAATACCGTAACCTGAGTATCCTTTAACTATACAACGTATACCATTAGCGCGGCAGTGCGGCGACTGGTTTATATGTGAAATAGTTACATTTATTTAAATACTTAATTTTCCCTAATCAACCAATCACCATTTGCCTGAACACCATTTTACAACACTGGTTTCAAAAGGATCTTATGTGACACCAATTACGATCCTTTTTCAAAGTTTAATCTACATATACCATTATACACTTTCTGGAAGAAAAGTAGTCTGCTTTTGAATGCAAAACCTTCATTAAATCCCTTTGTGTAGAAACCTTGTGAACCGTTAAAATCCCCAACAAAGTGCTTGTTTTGAAGATTTGCTGTCTGTTTCACTGACCATGGCGTCCGTAGGTGATTTAAGGTCGGACATGTCCTGCGTTTTATAAACAAGTATCTGATGACAAAGCTGTAATGTCAGCAGACCGTTGGGAACATTAATGTTTTTCTCGCCAATAAAACATCAGCTAAATAGAAGCAGGACTAGCTTCTATGGAAATAAAGTCGAAAAGTCCAGTCTCACAACCTTTATTAGCAAATAGTCGCCCAGTATTTCTTAAACATAAATGTTCATGATTAAAAATCAATGCTTTAAGATAAGGTGGCCTGCGTTATTATTACGGATAATAACAAAATGATATATATTTAATATACAATATGATTTATTTGCCAAATATGGATGAATCTTCGTATCTTGACGAGATAACATATATTTTCTCGCTAGGTCTATAGGTGGCACTTCAGCCAGGTACTCAGTCCAGGTGTGTTTATTGATCACGGTAAGCTTAAAGTGCAATATGACAGTAAACAAATAAACAACAACACTCATATACACCACTTCCGCACGTACTCCTTAATGTATAGAGAGAGATATGTTGCAATGTTCAGAAAAAATGACTTAGTCATATAAAAACAATTCCTGATGTGGACATGTTAATATATTATTGACAAGCATAAGATACAGTTGACTTAATCCAATGCATTATATCGGCTTTTATTGGCAATACTTATATATTTGGCAAAATAAGCAATTTCTTTCTATATTTTCTGTGGAGAACAACTTTATTAATGTATACCTATTTGTGTGTGGGGTATAGTAAGGTTTGATAAAAGACTGGATATGTTAGAACAAAATGAAATTCATCTTCCGTATCATATAAGGCACCTAACGAACAAATATATTTTGTTTGTTTTAAAACCCTTGGAATCTGCCAGTTTCTTCACGAAGTTTGTGAGAATATATTATAATCTTTACCAACTCATTTAAGTACTGATTATAGATGGACTTATGTAAGTAGCTTTGTAAACCAAACTCATTAAGGTACGTTTATACAGATTACACTTCGAAAAAGTATTTATATTTTGCAAACATTCCTGTTTAAAATATTCATTATTCTTTCTTAAAAAAATGTATAAAATTATTTTGTACGTCTTTTAATTCCCCAAAATATCCCAATCCAATTGGTCCCTAACAGTTAGTGTTCAATGATCTTACGTCAATGGTCTCCACAATCAGACACTTGTTCATAGCATACCTCAGCAATGTCTTTGTCAATGCCGTGTCCCGGGGATTTGTTAATGTCAAATTTCTAATAGCTACCATACGTTCTCATTCAATTTTCCCTGTCTAATTCTATAAATAAACCAGGATAATAAGAACGGTCAATATTAGTTAAATACATTGATGCTTGGTATCGAAGTTGCTTTGAAAGTTGAATAAGAGTCAGTTAATGTACTTGTCTTTATTTTTACGTGTCCCACAATGTTTATAGAATGACTAAGGGTTGTGCTTTCTTTAAAAAGTTCATTTGATTTCCATTATGCCCCTCATATTCTCCTTTGAGTCTAGTTTGATCAATCTCATAAAAACGTTTTTTTATTGACTAATATATTACAATTTTCTACTGTCTTTGTTATTCAACCAAGACTCGTCTTCACACCGTTGCAGTTTTACCTTATGAGACGTATGTCTAACAGCAGTTTGTAAACAAAAAGATTGAACAACAGGGTCACACGAAACATCCAAGTAAACCAATGCACTCAGGATTAGATATTGCTTTGTTTACATAATCCGTATATGTTTTATTATTACTTTTTCCTAAACATATTTTATTTAACTTAACCTATCAAAGGTTATTTTCAGACAAAAAGAAACTGTCGAATGATTTGAAAAATAAATGAAAAAAAATCAGATTGAATATCAGTTATACTGGACAATGTCGATTCTTCTACTAACGAATACCGTATCAGACTAGTTCCTCTGTTACTATAAACTGTACTACTTCCATAAGGGTCACCACCAGGCCTTCCATTTACAATTGTTAATGATGAGGTTTTACAAAGTGCTATCAACTGTCGACAGAACTGGTTGAAAGTCATATCTACACAACAACACACCTGGAGACCTATATCGTCTATATACACAACAACACACCTGGAGACCTATATCGTCTATCTACACAACAACACACCTGGAGACCTATATCGTCTATCTACACAACAACACACCTGGAGACCTATATCGTCTATCTACACAACAACACACCTGGAGACCTATATCGTCTATCTACACAACAACACACCTGGAGACCTATATCGTCTATCTACACAACAACACACCTGGAGACCTATATCGTCTATCTACACAACAACACACCTGGAGACCTATATCGTCTATCTACACAACAACACACCTGGAGACCTATATCGTCTATCTACACAACAACACACCTGGAGACCTATATCGTCTATCTACACAACAACACACCTGGAGACCTATATCGTCTATCTACACAACAACACACCTGGAGACCTATATCGTCTATCTACACAACAACACACCTGGAGACCTATATCGTCTATCTACACAACAACACACCTGGAGACCTATATCGTCTATCTACACAACAACACACCTGGAGACCTATATCGTCTATCTACACAACAACACACCTGGAGACCTATATCGTCTATCTACACAACAACACACCTGGAGACCTATATCGTCTATCTACACAACAACACACCTGGAGACCTATATCGTCTATCTACACAACAACACACCTGGAGACCTATATCGTCTATCTACACAACAACACACCTGGAGACCTATATCGTCTATCTACACAACAACACACCTGGAGACCTATATCGTCTATCTACACAACAACACACCTGGAGACCTATATCGTCTATCTACACAACAACACACCTGGAGACCTATATCGTCTATCTACACAACAACACACCTGGAGACCTATATCGTCTATCTACACAACAACACACCTGGAGACCTATATCGTCTATCTACACAACAACACACCTGGAGACCTATATCGTCTATCTACACAACAACACACCTGGAGACCTATATCGTCTATCTACACAACAACACACCTGGAGACCTATATCGTCTATCTACACAACAACACACCTGGAGACCTATATCGTCTATCTACACAACAACACACCTGGAGACCTATATCGTCTATCTACACAACAACACACCTGGAGACCTATATCGTCTATCTACACAACAACACACCTGGAGACCTATATCGTCTATCTACACAACAACACACCTGGAGACCTATATCGTCTATCTTCACAAAAACACACATGGAGACCTATATCGTCTCTTTATATTCGGCAGCAGTGTTTCCCTAGGTACAGTAAAATTATTCTGGTATTATGTGCTTTGTGCTGCTTCATGCAACCTTTTGCACCAACGAAAATTTGTTATTCAGTCGTATTAATCCATCCAGAGTTTCTCATTTGGTCTGATGATAGTACAGTGTAAAGTACGCATTTATCATAAAAATCAAACAAACAAGTCAAGTTGCTACATTTGATTGACACCCTTTTGTTAACTTTACCCAATTATGTTCAGAAATAACTAAACTGAAATGTGCGCAGTAGGTTCGTTTATACAACAGCCCTTACCTGTACTTAGTAAGATCAATCATCGCCTCGATGTGCTGGTATGTTCCAGGCGACAGTAAACAGGTGTTCCAGGCGACAGTAAACAGGTGTGCTAGTATGTTCTAGGCGACAGTAAACAGGTGTGCTAGTATGTTCCAGGCGACAGTAAACAGGTGTGCTAGTATGTTCTTGGCGACAGTAAACAGGTCCGCTGGTATGTTCCAGGCGACAGTAAACAGGTGCGCTAGTATGTTCCAAGCGACTGTAAACAGGTGCGCTGGTATGTTCCAGGCGACAGTAAACAGGTGCGCTGGTATGTTCCAATCGACAGTAAACAGGTGTGCTAGTATGTTCCAAGCGACAGTAAACAGGTGCGCTGGTATGTTCCAAGCGACAGTAAACAGGTG